CTGCCGTCCTCGGCTGGCACCGCCACGGAGGGGCTGCATGGGGAACGGAGCCCGAGCCATCGGCTCTCACACAACGGCACCGCGGCCAGGGGCACCGTAGGGATGCATGGGGACCCGTAGGGATGCATGGGGACCCTTAGGGATGCATGGGGACCCATAGGAATACATGGAGACCCTATAGAGATACATAGGGACACCATAGGGATGCACCCATAGGAATACATGGAGACCCTATAGAGATACATAGGGACACCATAGGGATGCATGGGGACCCATAGAGACCCGTAGGGACACCTTAGGGATGCATAGAGACCCTATAGAGACAAATAGGGACACCATAGGGATGCATGGGGACCCATAGAGACACATAGGGACACCATAGGGATGCATGGGGACCCTTAGGGATGCATGGGGACCCATGGGGATGCATGGGGACCCATAGAGACCTGTAGGGACACCATAGGGATACATGGGGACCCATAGGGATGCATAGGGACCCTTAGGGATGCATGGGGACTCATAGGAATACATGGAGACCCTATAGAGACACATAGGGACACCATAGGGATGCATGGGGACCCATAGAGACCTGTAGGGACACCATAGGGATACATGGGGACCCTTAGGGATGCATGGAGACCCTATAGAGACAAATAGGGACGCCATAGGGATGCATGGCGACCCATGGGGATGCATGGGGACCCATAGAGACCCATAGGGACACCATAGGGATACATGGGGCACACAAAGAGATACACTGAGGCCCTATAGAGACCCGTAGGGACACCATGGGGATACATGGAGACCTGTAGGGACTCCATAGGGACACCGTAGGGACACCATAGGGATAGATGGAGCCCTATAGGGACACCATAGGGATACCACAGGGATACATGGAGACCCACAGGGACACCATAGGGATAGATGGAGACTCATAGGGACACCATGGGGACACACAGGGAACCATAGGGACACCACTGGGATACATGGAATCACAGCATCACAGCACGGCTGTGCAGGTTGGAAGGGAGCTCAAGGATGATGAATCTCCAACCCCCTGCCACACGCAGGGCCACCACCCTCCTCATTGAATGCAGCCCAGGCTGCCCAGGGCCCCATCCAACCCGGCCTTGAGCAGCTCCAGGGATGGACGGGGCATCCGCAGCCTCTCTGGGCAGCTGTTCCAGCACCTCACCACTCTCTCCGTAAAGAATTTCCCCCTGACATCCAACCTCAATCTCCCTTCCCTCAGCTTAAAACCATTTCCCCTTGTCCTGCAGTTATCAACCCTTTCCAAGAGCTGTCTCCCCTCCTGTCTGTAGGCTCCCTTGAGGTCCTGCAGGCTGCACTGATTCACCCCTCAGCCTTCTTTCCTCCAAGCTGAACAAGCCCAGCTCCCTCAGCCTGTCCTCATAGTGGAGGTGCTGCAGCCCTGCTCATCTCTGTGGCTCCTCTGGCCCCTCTCCAACAGCTCCCTGTCTTTGTTGTGCTGGGGCTCCAGCCCTGGGCGCAGTGCTGCAGATGGGCCTCAAAGAGCAGCGCAGAGGGGAACGACCCCCTCCCTGTCCCTGCTGCCAGCCCTGGTCTCTCTCTGCCCCACCAGGCTGCATACGGAAGCTGGGCAGAAGGAAAGCAGAGCTTTTCCTCTGTGTGCCCGGAGTGCTGGGAGTGCTGGTGGGTGTCATCCTCATGTTTTGGATGCTGTTTGGGACAGGTGAGTGCCCCCACATCCCCACTGTGGGCGCTGGATGGGGGATACCGGCGTTTCCCAGCCCCCATCCCACCTCCTGGGCTGCCCCAAACCACCTCCTGCTCCCCTCCCCAACCTCTGCAGCGACGTCGCCCCACGTCGCTGCATCCCGACCCCAACCTGCAGCAGGGGGACGACCAAAGCGGGACCGCAGTCGTTTCAGCTCCTTGTCTCCCATGTACCCAACTCTCTCCCTCTCAGTGCGCCCACGTGAGCCGTGCCCACCTGCCCCAGCCTTCTCCCACGTGTGCCCCAATGGCTGGGTCGGCTTCCAGGGGAAATGCTATTATTTCTCGCACAACGAGAGAGACTGGAACAGCAGCAGGGAGCTCTGCCAGCAACTCGGAGCTGCCCTGGCCACCCTGGACACGGAGGAGGAGGTGGTGAGAGCGGGGGGTGAGCTGCAGTGCCAGCATGGGGGTGGGAAACCCACACTTGTGGGGCTGCACCAACGGCTCCTGCTGCCCCCAGTTCACTCCACGGCAAAGCCATGAGATGCCCCCAGTTCAGCCTGTGCCAGAGCCATGAGATGCCCCCAATTCACTCAGTGCCAAAGCCATGAGATGCCCCCAATTCACTCAGTGCCAAAGCCATGAGAGGCCCCCAGTTCAGCCTGTGCCAAAGCCATGAGAGGCCCCCAATTCAGCCCGTGCCAAAGCCATGAGATGCCCCCAATTCACTCAGTGCCAAAGCCATGAGAGGCCCCCAATTCAGCCCGTGCCAAAGCCATGAGATGCCCCCAATTCACTCCGTGCCAAAGCCATGAGATGCCCCCAGTTCACCCCAGGGCAAAGCCATGAGAGGCCCCCAATTCAGCCTGTGCCAAAGCCATGAGAAGCCCCCAATTCACCCCATGCCAAAGCCACGAGGAGATGCCTTTGGGAAAGCCCTGG